ATGAAGATTTTTCCTACCTGATAGTTGTGGGGATATATGATTGGACTGTGGACTGGGGTACAAGGGGAGGGGAATGAATCATGTATTGATATCTATTGCTTTCGCACTCTTTTGCTCAGATCCAGCTTTGCTTCGCTTCTCATCATTTATAATCAGTAAAAGTACACTTAATTCTGAAACATGGAGTTGAGTGATTTCTTTCTTGGTTATTAAGTGAAGGAGCCGTGACAATGTGATTGTAACATTTCAGCCATTAAATGTCTCCTAAGGACAGAAGCCTAGGTTTTTCATTATTGTCCCTTTAGCAACCAAATGAAAATTTGTTACTTTTTCCCAGTAACTACTGATACTGATTGGTTTTATATATTTTATGAGGTGTTAGCTATATTTATCATAGTTGTTTTAGTAGTGTTCATTTTATAATCATTACATGCATATATATTTATGATTTTAGTTTAAGCTACATTGTGAACATCCAAAACGTCTCAAATACAAAAGAATAAAGTTAATGGAAGTAAAAAGAACAATTTAACAAAAGAGACAGAATATTGAACATATTGCATATCAAAATAGCTTTTTCCTCAAAGAAATTCTACAAAAAAACCCTAGCTGAAAAATATGGCTGCAGAGCTCCATCTAAAGGCTGCTACTTTGTAATTACAAAAAATGAAGCTTCAAAGTACCCTTGATGTTACATTGCAAAAATAATTGCATTAAGTTAGTCTGTAAAAAGTAAGATATACCACGTATTAATAGAATAATATTTTAATATCATGTGTGATTGCTTAACTTGGAATAATTCACACCAAGGTTTTATATCAACAGGAAATATTAAACATTTGTATTATACAGGTAGTCCTTGTTTAGAGATCACAATTATGTAGTCAGTAATTGGAAATTCAGTGACCCTGATAAAATTTATGATTTTGCTTCAGCTTTCTTCCATCCACCCATTACCCACTGCTCTGGTAATTAGCAAGTAGGAAATTAACATTTGTCTTTACAATTAGTAGAGAAGAAGGCATTACAAAGGAGTAAGCAGGAATACAATCAAAAAGAATATGCTATTATCAGCTGTTTGTCTAATGCGCCCATCGTTCCTAACTTCTTATCACTTTGGTGGCAAACAACTGCTGAAATTTTAAAAGCTATTAAACTCATGTCACTTACAAGAAGCAGCTGCAAACAGTATAATTAGGTCATAGAACTGGCTTATTAACTTGTAGTTACCATCTTTTGGGGAAGCATTGAACTGGGGAGAAAAGCAGTTCAGGAAGTAGGCCAAGCATAGGACAATGTGAACAAATGACTGTGAAAGAGATGTTGCAAGTCTTAAATCTAAGCGTTGTTCCAAAGTTATTTTTCACCACTGTCATAACTTTGAACAGTCACTACCCAAGACCAGTCACTAAGTAAGATCTACCTGTATTGTTAAAAATTATGTGAAATAGTTTAGAAATTTCCATTATTTATATGATGCAGATTATCCAAATGGTTATTATTCATATTATATATCTAGCTACCAGAATAACTATTTTGTATGCAAAATCACTTATCCCCCCCCTCCCCCGAAAAATGAAACTCTATGTAGTACTCCAAGAAACTTTAGTGATGGCAGGAAATATAACTAATTGTACTGTTTCTCTTTGATTATGGTGCCAAGTCTCAGAAATCAATAATTTTTTTAAAAAAATCAGGTCTTAGTCACATTTTCCTCCCAGCAGTAAAGACCTGAAATAACTCTTTCTCACATTCCCATCTTATATATGTAGTGAAGATGTATTCTTTTCTTAAGTCCTGAAACTTTCTAAACATATTATAATATAGATAGACAAACACGGGCACTGTGAAAATAAGACTATATAATTTATATTTCTGGAACAGCCTTCCTTGTGTTGTTTATCTGATATCCAGATGTATCAGATCAGAGTTTGTTAGATATTATACATTTTTAATAAAATCTTGATATTCAAACTGTGTTTTTTTTTCATACCAGATTGGACACTCCAAATGTTTCTGCAAAGCTAGCAGCAGTCCATGAACGTCACCAATACTTGGAACAGGCAAATCCATAGCTAATTATATACCTTGAAAACAGAAAAAAATAATTTTGTGTAGTATTTTGAAATATAGTACAGGTACTTCTCCTTTAGCAACTGCAGTTAAGACTGGCATCTCTAATATTAAGTGAATATTAGGTGAAACAAATGCTAAATGGAAAATCACATGACCACAACTCTTGTTTTGCCCATGAGCCTCAATTTCAATCCTTTGGCTCCTTTTGCTTGCCTCCTAACAGTCCTGTTCTTTGGAACACCCATACTGACACTGGGATAAATAGCAATAAAGGAACTAATATTTGTACTTCCATTCATAATTTTTAAAACTCAGAGGTTTATGGTTGTTTAATCAAAGTTAAAAGAAAAAAACTGTTATACTTGGTTTCTATTACTGGAAGCTTGCTGACAAAGATTGACTGGCTTACTTTACTTTACATAACAGAACTAACAGAACTATGGGTAGAAGAAAGATTACAGGTAGTCATTGATTAACAACCAGAACCAAGCCCTGCAGATTTCTTGCAAAGATGTTGAAGTGGTTTGCCATTGTCTGCTTCTTGGGTTGAGGATGTTACCTGATATCTTAGGCTTCATTATTATTGTTTTAAAAGATAGTATTAACAATTTTAACATAGTCTAGGCCTCTATTCTAACTTTAGAAAAGATGTACCTTCTTAGACAAGGCAATTTCTTTTGGTTTGCACAAACTTGTCTTTTTAACACTAAACAATAGAGAGATTATTCTTGAATATAAGTTTTAAGTAAGATACATATCCAATTAGGAAAGAATAATATAAGCCATAAATTTGGCTTATATTCACTTTTTTAATCTATGTTGAATCAATGTTTTCTATTATCAAATTTCACATGTAATCAATGTTATAATTTAACAATTTACTTTTTACTGTATGACATACGAGTGTGCAATTTGTTTTGGATCAATAAAAAGAAATTGAACTCTTGATTATTTTTTCTTTGCCTGAATTACTTCTGATTTACATTTTTGGGCAAAGAAGCCCCTTTGCAAAGATAGTGTCTCTCTCAAGTTCAGGGGTCAACTTCTTAGCAGCTCCTTGACAGAGTTGGCATGCCAGAGTTTCAAGGCCACAAGCAAAAGTGAATGGTCTAAGATCATCCAGCAGGCTTTTTATTTTTTTATTTATATGCTTCCTTTATTATGTTATAAATGACTCAAAGTGTCAAATAATTCAGATTGTCAGTGAAATCAGATAGACATAATGTTGGTAAGTATTTTGGCTCCTTCTATTTTTCCAACAAAAACTCTGTGAGGTTAGTTGGGCTGAAAGTGGCTGGTCCAAAGTCACCCAGGCAAATTTTGATAAAGAAATAAACTTTAAGAATATCCTTGATTTATTGCCCAAGTATTTTTCAGCATTACTTCTATCTAATTTCACAAACTATCCAAAATAATTTCATGAAATCGTTATAAGTAGGCGTTACTGGCTATTGTTCTTTTTCTATCCACCTCCATTTGTTTCATATTGTAGGTAAAGCCTTTTTTTATGGACAGGAAACAAATGCCCTATTTTAAGTACTAAACTTTAATCAAAGATTTCTCTGTCACACGTAGAGCTAATAGTTACTTTACTACATAAACTACTACTACACAACGCCCCTCCCCTTTCCCTGGTTATACAAGTATAGTAACAAAAACGGAAGAGTCTTAGCTTAGACTGTCGAAAGACAAGTTAGCTGCTGACAAAGACAATTTATCTCTCCTTTATTCCAGTCTTTTATCATATGAAGTGGATGCTTGTATCATCCTCCCCGAACTCCTTTAGTGATAATACTAATAAGCGCCTCTTGATTAAAATATCCGAGATTTAAAAAATAAATGCGCATCTAAACTCCAGACATAATCTGCCGTCACTGCCGAGTCACACTGCTACATAGGTATTGCTCACCTAAACGCTGGTTTCCTTCGCTTAAGTTTTGTACGACCTCCTATCTTTGCCGTCCATAAGAAGCGACTTCTATTCCTTTCGCCTTCTACTCTGCGGGGTTTTTTTTCGCGCCTTCCTCCCGTTGATATACGGGGGGCGGGGCAACCGCCTGCTAACCAATCACCTTGTAGATTTTGGATCCCATGACTGCAACATAACCAGCCCCATCAATTGGCAACTCCAGAAAAGCCAGGAAAAGAATGGCGTTGCAGTCCTCGATGCTCGAATATGAGGATCTCATCACTAATTTCTGACAACCGAACAATGTGGCATTATTCAAATGTAATGAAAGCGATGGAGGGTCAGTTTGGTATAGTGATTAAGGCAGAGGTCTTCAAACTTGGCAACTTTAAGACTCGTGAACGTCAATTCCCAGAATTCTCGAGCCAACATAGTATAGCAGGCTGGAGAATTCTGGGAGTTGAAGCCCACAAATCTTAAAGTTGCCAAATTTGGGGCGCCCTGGATTAAGGTAACATATGCTAGAAACCGGAAGACTGAGTTCTAGGCACACTTTAGGCATGGAGCCAGTGACCTTGGCCAGTCACTTTCTCTCAGCCCAGGGAAGAAAGCAATGGCAAACCACCAAACTGGCTCTCGTTATAGCTTTAGGTTTTTTTAAAAAATCTAAACTGGTTTGTCTGTAAATTGCCTTGAGTCTCCCTCGATGCGGCAGCATATAAATTTGATACATAAATGATTCATAATCTCTGAAAGACATAATTTCTTCCCAATAAGAAAAACTTGGATTTTCAGACGCTGTTACCTATAAACTGGGTTAACAAAATCACAAATGAGGTGAAAGCACAGGGAAATCATCATAGCCATTAAAAAGCGAAAGTGGGTATTTTGGACATGTTATGCAACGCCCAGAAAAATAGGCATCTTCACTTACACTCCAGGGAAAGATGGGAGACAAAGGAGGTCCAGGCAGAAGGAAGACATCATAGCTTCAAGACCTAAGGGACTGGTTTGGGCAAAATTCAGCAGCATTTTTTCATGTGGCTGGTGACAAAAATAGGATTGCCAACATGATCGCCCACGTCTCATAGATATGGCAGAAGAAGAGGAGGAGGAGCATAGGAGGGAGGGAAGAAGAAGAATCCAACATGAATTCCGACGCTTTTTGTATTTGCCGCGATCTTTTTACTGCAGTCAAATGTTCGGTTTTTCATTGGCTGGTTGCAACACAGAAGGCACGTAAAGATGGCTTCTGCCACGCTCTGAACCCGGAAATCCCTTCCCCTGGCAATGAGATGCGTCAATCTCCTTACTTGTTGTTATTGTTGTTCTTTAGAGGATCCGCCTCTCTCCTCGCGGGTAACCAATAGTATAAAAGACCGTGGCTCCCCGCCCAGTCACATTAAGCAGCTGCTGGTTGCAAGAGCTGGCCGACGGACCTGCGATTTCCTTGCGTCATAGCGTGGGGAGGGGATGGCGAACGCTGAACGTGGAACCTTGGTCTTTCCCGAGGTCCACTCGTCTGACGTCCAGGACCTGCTGGGCAGTCCAGTAAGTTCAGTCCCGCACGACTGCTGCTTCTCTGCACTCTTCCTTAAAGGAGCTGCCTTCCTCCGAGAGGCGTCCTCCGGTCGTGCGGGGTAGAATAGCCCCCTCGGCTTCACCCGCCCCACGTCCATGGGCTGCGGCGGTTTAGTGCAGCTGGAGTGCGCCAGGTGGCGGACGCCGACTGATGAGGGTTTGTTGAGCGTTTGGTAAGCGAGGAGTAAGCTTCGTCCTGGAGAAAGAAGCGGCTACCGAATAGCTTTTGTGCTCGGGAAACGTTGCGTTACTTAAGTCGGCTCTTCTCCCGTCCTCGTGGGGAGCGAATGACCCATTTTCGATAGTTGCTTCAACAGCAGGCAACTTTTTCGCTGCCCCATCCCCCGTGTTATAATAAACTGTTTCCTAAGGCTTTCCAAGTTGGCAATTTGATTTTAATACGAAGCCAATAGGAAACGCCCTTAAATCTCTCCTTCGATTAAATGTGTGATATTGAGATAAATGCTATGTATGCTTACTACATATATTCGTCGATTTGGGTGCTTTTACCTCCATGTACGTAAGCATATAAATGCAGCGTTAGCGTAGCAATCCCTTGTGTTTTCGTAGTTTTATTAATACTGCGGTTAATCCCGAGGATAACCTATTAACTAGATATATTGTACAGTAGCAAGTAGGCCAGTTAAGATGGTGACTTTCCGGTAGATCCCATGATAGGCAATTTCCTGTTCCAAGGATTTTCAAGATGGTAGTTGTCCCATGGTGCTTGTCTGGAATGTTTGTGAAGTTGTTTGCTATGTAGCCAAAACACTCGTTTCAGATATACCACTTTTAAGTTCCTGTAAGAGTAAGGAACTTTAAAATATTCCAGAATATTTTTTCTTTCAAAACTGTTCTATAAGTAATATAATGTGCTGGTGTTTATGGGTCATGCCCTAAAATAAAGCTAGATAGAATTTTAAAGCAGAGCTGACTTGCTGTGGCTATGTGGAGAGAAGTCATTTCAGTAATCTAAACCAATGACCAATTATTTTTGATAACTCGGGATATCTTTTGTAGACCTGCTTTTCTGTTGATAGTCCTAACAGTTATAAAAGTATGCCTAAAGAATACTGCTTTTCTACCTCAAAATGGTGAGAAACCACATTTTCACTTCATAGGTATTTTTCTCAGAGCAATGCCATTCTGAGCTACCAAAAAGGAATATGTATGCCTTACATACAAATGCATTGTAAACAATTATAGGTAGATTAATGAAGAAACAAATATAGAAATATGCATTGTACTAAGAACAATGTAACATGTACATTCTGGTCATAGGCTGGGAAGCATTACAAACTGCAAATATGATTGTATTTACTACACACTTAGGAATATGCAAAATTCTAATGTTCCCAGTCTTGATTTGTATTATCCATTATCTTCTCCAGCTATTCCTCCATTGTGGACAATGCCAAATCTTTTTGATTTAATCTTGTAGCTCTAAAAAAACAAAGTTCCATAACTGTTTGCTCTTCCATTTCAAATTTCAATAGAGGTATATGTTTTGCAATTATATATTCATATTTGTACACATTTCTGTTTGTCTTAGAATGTTCAAAACTATAAATTATTTTGTTTATATAATTGTAAATAATATTTCTATTATCTAGAGATATTTAATTGAATCTAATTGAAAATTATATCCCTCTCAGATAATTTTTTTAATTATATGTTACATTTCCCTTTACAAAATTTTAGTATCTCAAAATAAGTTAGCCTTTATGTTTGCCTATTATTTCTTGTCTATAAAAAATCTTGGGGAGAGAATCATAAAGGTCTTTTTGACCCAATTTGGGTTTTTATCCATTCCATATTCTCAATATAGCATGACTAACATAATGATTAATCCATATTAACCTTGATTTTATATATAGGATTCTGGGTATTTTAATCTTGGTGTATTTGGTTAGGTGAACCTGACCTAACAAAGTACAGAACTGTGCCCCTGACTTAACCAAAGCACATAGTGTATCCATGAATATCAATTAGCAGCCAGAAGACATGAAGCCCCTTAATTTCATCATTATTTTCTTATCTTTCTCATATGCAAGCAAGCACAGTTTATGAGAATATTCAGAAGAATGGGAAGAGGAAGAGAAAAACCCAGGCAGTCCTAACCCCAGGTTTTTGGTTTTTTGAATTGTATAAAAATATTGTGACTGCTCGGTTTCTCACAAAAAGAAGTTAAGTTTGGAACAACTACATTGTTTTTTAATTAATGTTTTCATTTTATTTCCACAGATTCGTAGAATGGATCCCCAGGTAAATTTCAGTGTGAACTTCCAAGGTAACACCTTGACCTTCCTTGTATCATCTAAAACCACATGGGCTGATATGGAAGCCATGGTGAGTTGAGTCTTTGCTAATTGTGATTCACTAATCAATAACAGTTTTAAATTACCCTTTACTGTCTTCACATCATTTACTGTTTCAAGTTTTCACAAACATCTGGCTTTTTCAGCAGGCCCTAGAACAGGATGGTCTCTGAACCCACTTTTGGACATATGTTTCAGATGAGTTGTAATTGGCCATCCATTTTCCCAGTGTGACTATTAATAAGCTTTAATTATTTGTTATTGATTTCTATCTTTGTTTTTTAATTCTAATATGTATTTAGAATCCCTATTGTAATTGAAGTGGTAAACCAACAATTAATACAATTTGAGAGGATTATTTCTGTAAAATGTTGTGTATTAGTCATTCCTCGAATGATCTCAGCTTTCTTCCCATCCTTTAATTAGCATTGGACAAATTCTATTAATACAATTGCATTAAAGTCACCACTCTTCATTAATTCCATAGAATGGAAAAGATTAAAGGCAATTTGGCTGTTGCATTGCTGATATGTCTATAGTATACCAGCTATGCAGTAGTATAACATTAACATCTTTTACAGCTTCAACCTTCTCCCTCAATTTATGCAGACCTGTATAAGTGCAAGATTAGTGACTAGGAACAACAACATTCTACTAATCAAATCTAGATAATGATCTAATAATTGGCATAGGCTACCAGATGATAATCAAAAATATATCTGCACTCCCAATAGTGTTCTCTTCATTTTTTTATGTTCTATGTAAGTGAACAGTTCTTGCTCAAGATATTTGTTCACTGACCAATCCGTGCTTCATAGCAGAAATGGATGGGGTTGAATTACAGTTTAGGATCAAACAAGATAATTTCTTGCACCTACAAGTTGCTTTTTATATGCTTGCAGAAAGGAGTTCTGAGATGTTTTTGGACCAGCACTTACCATTAAAAAATGGAACATTCCAATCAATATTAAATGTAAATTCAGAGCAGCTGTAAACAGTATTTAAAAATGGGCATGAACTTGCATGTTTTTGTTGCAAGTGGTTTAATTCAATATTGATATAAGGTTGCTTTGCCCTTTGGAAATCTTTAACTTGCTAGTATACGTGTATAATCATTTTTTCACAAAAAATACTATTTCTTTTACTGGAAGAATCTCCTGTTCTATATATTAAGAATTTTAGATTTATTTTCAAGTTCCCCAGAATTTTTTGAATGCTGTGGGTCTGTTAGAAGAAATCATTTACTTGATTTATTTTAGTAGGTCTGTGATGTGGTTGAAAAGTCAAGTCTATTGTGTAAGGAAGGTGAAACTAAGATTGCCAAAGTTACCTTTTGATTAATGGACAAGATAGGTATGTGCAAAATATTCTAAACAGCTTATAGATTTATTCACTGGGATGCACAGGTTTGATCCCTTTAAGTACAAAAAATATATAGATTGGATTTGACAAAGAGGAATAGAATTGCTCTTGGCTTCATTTATACTTTTGAAATAGCAATAAAAAGGATTAATCATTATTGCCTGTTTCTCCATTATGATGGAGATGAGCCATTTCACTAAGGTTAATTTCTGTTGTAGGTGAAAGTCTCATTTGAACTGAATAATATCCAGATCAAATACATAGATGAGGACCATGATGAGGTACTGCACTTTTATCTTCCAGTGAAGGCTTCATTTTAAAAATGAAAATTATTATTGTACTTTTGAAAGAATAGAACACTAAAAAGAACTTCATATATTTTTTATAAAGAAGCTTTTTTTCTTCTTGCAAAATAGTGTCCAGTCAATATTTGGTCTGCATTGTGTAATAGTTAGTTTCACAGATTATCTAATTTTTTTGCCATCTCTCCTGAGGTTTGCTTACCACTTCAGGATTGAAAAGATATTTTTTAAAAAAAATAATAATCAGATACTCTTTGACTTATGATCACAATTAATCTCAGAATTTTTTAATAAGTTATGGTAATTAAGCAAGCCATCCAAGTAACTGCCTCAATTATCATAATCCTAGCTCTATTAAGTATTAAGTGACCATGCAGGAGTGCTTCAAGGGGGGATGAAAGCCTTGGGAATCCTGGCACCTACCATCATATGGAAATATGGGGGTCACAAAGCTGCAGTTAGCTAGGCCCACCAACTCAGGGACTTCCTCCCTTTCTCTGCCACTCTTGAGAGGCCTGGGCTGCCCCATTCTACCACCATATTTGGAAGCCTTGGCTTGTTAGGCCTACCAATGGACAGAAGCCTGCCATGGCCAGAAGACCTCCGCCAGCTAGGCACACCAGCACATAAGCCACCTCCTTGCTCTTGCCATTCCTGAGATGTGTGAACCTTTTTCCTGTCCCATCATGCCTGGGTCCACTTACCTTTCGGAGAAGGAGTGCCAGAGAATCTGTAGTCGTAAGGATGTGATCCCTGCAGTCCAGGTTTTTATCATGTGACTGGCAGTGCTGCAATGGTTAGAACTTTGGGCAAGAGCTGTAAGTCCCTTTGTTCCGTGCCACCATAATTTTGAAGGGTCACTGAACAAACAGTTGTAAGTCAAGGGTTAACGAGTTACGCCTTTATAGCAGAAATAAGAACACTTCTTGAATCCTGCCCCCCTTCCCTCAATAACAATTCTTTAAAAATATTTTGCTCTTGAAATTATTAAAAGACCAATAATTTATGTCTAAAAGAAGAAAAATGTGCATGCAAATGTGCTCCAAATTTGTCTACTCTTGAGAAATAGGTATGACATAAAATATTTTTGTCTGAGGATGAGTGGTTTATTCTTTAGTTGTACAGGAGGCTTCCTCCAGATATGAGTTATATTACAATTTCCAAAATTCCCACCCAATATGGAACTCTGGCTGTGGCATCCAGAGAACATCAAGTTGGGATAGGCTGGTAGGCTCTGTGATGTACCTATACTAGTCATCTTCAAAATGATAACCCATAACAGTGAGATGGCAGCATATTTGGGCTGAGGGAGAGAAAGTGACTACATTTGCATATGGTATAATCAGCAATATTTGTTGAAATAACTTTCTATAGTCTTAAATTGCCTTGTTGATTTTACTTTGAACTATGTAGTTTCTTAGTAGGAAAGCAGGATGGGGAAAAGATCTGTTTAATAAAAAAAATACATGTCTGTAATAACTATGAAGTCAGAAGCTAAATCTACTGTTCTGCAATGAATCACATGAAAAATCCTGCTATGAATATTATAGCAATTAAAACCTCCTTTCATAATTTCTGTCTGTACCCCCCTTCCCTGATTTGAATTGTGAGCCGCCCTGAGTCCCCTTCGGGGGAAAAGGGCGGCATATAAATATAATCAAATCAAATCAAATTTGTTTTTTTTCCCCACAGGTATCCATCAACACTGCAGGTAAGTTGCCTTTGGTTGACTCATAAAATCGGTTGAGTTCTGCTGTGGTAGTATGAATAAAGGCAGCGATTGAAATAAGGGACACATAGAAGTGCTTAATAATACTGAGAAGTATACTTTTGTAAACAACAAAACATGCCTTGTTTTTGCTCTGTAAAAACTGTATGCAGCGATTATCTAGTTAACAAGCATTTGTCTATTTCTGCATTAGAATGAGGCTTTGTATCTGCAGCTTCTTTAGTAGTCTTTTAAGGAGGAGGCTAAACTTAATGAGCTCTTCAGTTCTTTATTCATTCACTTCCTATTATGTAAAGTTTATTAAGTTCAATGCTAATTTAAATTTTCTCAAAATTCAGAACTGAATGAAATGTGGATAGCTACCCAGGATATGTTATTCTTCTTATCCCTTTTAAATAGTTTGAATATAGAATTCCATTACATTTGAAGAGATGAAATTAATGACATGGATTGTACACCATAATAAAACTAGCAAGTACTGCACGGTGTATTAATTTTTCTTTCCTAAACTTCAAATTGGATTTGGAAATGGGGGATGAAATCTGTATCAGGAAATAAGAAGGAATTATCAAAGCAGTACAATTACATTGGGCCCAAGTGTAAAATATAGTAATTTATTTACAAATGCAATTTTGGACATGATAGTGTTAATATTAACCACAGTTTGTTTCTCTCTTTAGAGGAATATCAAGAGGCTGTTAAGGTAATGGATTAGATTAGCTTTGGGGGCTTATTTTTATAGTAGTATGAATCAAATCTTAGATTTCTTGATGTGTCTGAGATTTTATTATTCTATTTTATCTAAACCAATAAAATCCTTTAAACTTGTCCATTCTAGTCCAGTTCCAAGCTACTGAAGTTCTTTTTAGTCAATACTGTTTATCTATTTTGTCGTAAAGAGTTATTCTCTGGACAAGAGCAAATTACTCTATTATCTTCCTCTTGAGTTGGGTCAGAATACGTATAACAGTTTCAGTTTTTATGTTACTTTCTCCACATTCTTATGGTTATTCTGTTAGTTTCTATGGTCTAGATCCTGGATGATGGATATCTGTCTAGTCGTCAAGGGTACTAGCTATCTTGTCACGGATAGAGAATTAGCAGGAGGAATTTTGGCAAAACCACTTAGTATCCCAGTTGCTGGTTATGAGGAGACTATTAAGGAAATTTCTAGGAAATTAAAAGTGAAGTGAATATAGAAATAATTACATAAGAGGAAAATGGTTTTATCTTTTTCGGTCTTAGAAATTAGGAAAATCTCCATATATGTTGAGTTTGAAAAGATCCATTACTGATGCAACATCCATCTGGCTTGATCACTAATCAATTTTGCAATTTAAAAAAATCCTTTTTCAGCTTTTCCTATCTTTTATATTCTACATCTAAGACATATAAATTCCACTGTAAAAGTACCTTCTAGCATTTTCCCATTTTGCTTAAATGTTTATGGTCTTGTCCTGAGAAAGCTATGACCTTAGTGCAGACCATCTGCTTTCCTTCTGCCAGGTACATCAACTTGTCACAATGTTATTTTAAAAAAAATTCAATTCTCAATAAATGTGTAACTTTAGAAAGATAGGATTATTTTTTAAAATGGCATATAGTTCATTAGAATGACTATTTCCATGTATAAGGGACTTTATTGAAAGGTTTTTTTTATCCCCAGATTGCAATGAAACAAGGCAGTCGGCTCCAGATGAATGTCTATGAATTAAGAGTTCCTTCAGGGATGTCTTCAAGACTGATATTTGGGAGATCTGAGGAACTGTTTGTTCCAGAAGTTAAAAAGAAGGCTCCAATTGCTCCAACACTGATAAAAGACAAAGATACTAAAAGAAAGAATAAAAGAATACAGGTAGAAGTGAAGATGTGTTTTCTGGCATCTGAAACTATCCTGTCAAATATCCATTAACACCACATTTTTTCTTTTTGAGTCTTTCTATCTAAACTTGTAAAGGTTCCAATTTTAATTTCATTGCATTGTGTGACAACGCTTCATTCTGTTTTAATCAATCTTTATCTTTAGATTCAGATTTTAAGATCTAAGGTGAATTATGTATATATTAGTTTTTATGTAGATATCCTCCTGAGATATGTATTTAGCTTAAATCCATGTGGGGGAGATAATTATTGATAATTATCTCAAAATTTTTCTAATTATACAAAAATAGAAAAATACACAGGTCTTTAGTGTATTAATGTTGATGAAATGTGGTTCTCTATTATTCAAAACTGACCTTTTCCCCTGTCTAAAGTTAGTTTTTGTAAAGTTTTTACAATTTATTTCATTTCTATAAAATCCCTACAAAATATTCAGAGGGGAATGTAGGTATTGAGTGAACTGTGCTTTTTTTTCTGAAGAGTAAATATTTTCCTGGTTTTTGGAGTACGTAACCATTCTTCACCTTTCAGATTTGTTTGAAAGAAATTTGTTTCTTGTAAAGTCTTAATGGAATTCACTGCTTCTTCTTGCTCCCCCCTGAATATATCATATATTTTGCTATACATTTTAAAGTAGTAAAAAGCTGAAGAAATCATAAGCTATTTTCTAAAACCACAAGCAAAACAAAATATTCAGATACATTTAATTAACCAGTTAGTAATCCACTATATGCATTCAAAGATATAATACTGTTTAAATAATGCTGTGTTACATAATGCTAAAAGATCCACATATTGTTATGAATTTGACCAGTGTTCTTGGCTGTTAGAAGTAATAGGAGAGGTTTTACTTTGGGCTTTTAAGATTTTGGCCTGACTGAACATATTTGCAAACTTCCAAGCATCCCCTTGAATACCAAAGTCCAGGTTACATTCTGTTCTGCCAGAACAATGACATTGTTTCTAGCAGCAAGCCTGGCCTTATTTTTAAATAAAAATACCAAACAAACAAACAATATGGCAAAGTCTGAAGAGTGCCTTTATTTATTCGCTTAGTCTTGCCAAGTCCAATATGAATAGGTACAAGGAAGTTGTATGTTAAGTTTTGCTGCTATGATTTTTTTTTAATCTCTCTAGAGTGAGCGCCTTCTCAGTGAGGTCCCTCCTGAGTGGTTTACAAGCTACTTGGAAAAGGTGAATGTGGTTTCTTTTCTATTTGTCTTGTTATGCAAGAGGCCTTCAGAAAAGGCATTGGAGGTGTGTGTGTGATTCAAACAGAATTGGAGAATAATATGTCTTTCTTTAAAAATAAAGAAAATGATATTATTCATCATGGGTAGAGCTTCACACACAAATTGATATTTGATCCAAATTGGCTAAACCCAAATTTTCTAGTTGATTTAAGAGGGCAGTTTTGTCCAGCTTAGTGTAGTGTGGCCAGGAGGTAGGAAAAATCAATGCATTCATCTCTCATGGTTAGTATAACTGAAGGCATGTAAGGATGGTTTCCCATTACACACCAAATTATTAAAGTGTATGTTGTATGCAGTACTATTTTTCTTTAAATCAACTTACTGCCTGTCCATTCTAGTGGAGTGCATGAATCAATTCTTGGAATGGAGATCAGAGCAAGAAACAAAAAGCCAATAGAAATTTGCTCAGGATACTTTTCTTTCTCTGCCTTTCCTTTTGCAGTTCCGGGAGCAAGTTGTTCAAGACACTGTTAAAATGCTGGAACAGAAGTTGAATGACAAGCTGCTTCTTACCAACCAGCTTCCAAAGTCCATGAACACTTCAAGACACCAAACTCCTGCAAGTTCCTTGGTGCAAGGCAATTCCTATGACTGGTTGCTTTCCTGTAATAATTGTCAAAAGCCCATAGTGGGGATTCGCTACCAGTGCAGGTAGGACCCAGGCCAGGGGATTAAAATGCAAATGTCCATGGTTTTCCAGGAGGTTAGAAATCGGTATTCTGAGGTTTTCTAGTGACTGTTGTTAGTGATGTATATAAGCAATTTAAACAATGGTCTAATCATTATGTAGCTAAAGTGGAAACATAGGATATCTCATGGAATCAAAGGTAAAGTTAGTGATATTACTTGAATAATTGGGAGAGGAACATCACTGATTGTCACATTCTTCCTCTCAATAAAATTTCTGCTTTAAAAATATATATACTCCACTACACAGGTAGTGTTCCAGTTTCCTTCTTTAGCAAAAACAGAAAGAGAGAGAAATTCGGCAATAAATATTGCATGATGCTATATTGGCAAAAGGAGCTGTTTTCATTTATATTTGTGATTTATTTACTGAAACTAATGCTACTCTAATCACATACGTTGAGCAGTTTATATTTCGTTAATACAGAAAATAGCTTAGGACACAATATGAAACTCAAAAACATTTGTTTACTACAGCTGCATTTCATCAGGAACTACCAGAATCACTTGACCCTAAAGGCTCTCTAAAAAGAAAAAAGAAAAGTTTTAAACCCTCTCAGGAATATTAGCCATTCTAATCTTTCTTCCCATTCTGATTTCTTATTATTTCCCTGTTTAGCAAGAAGGTTTGCTTACAGGAGTTTTCTAAGGGATAATTTATTTGCTGCCCCTCTTATTGATAAAGCAACTCTGGGTGGTTTACAGACAGTAAAAAGATAAATACAAAACTAATCAAAATTTAAAACACTATAGAAATTTAGAAACAAGGAGACGGATAGCACAGGGATTATATTCTTTCATCAGTCTTCTCCAGTGGCGCAGGTCCCCACAAGGCCTCAAACCAACTGGCAAAACCAGTTTTTTATAAACCTCCAGAAGGGGGCAGAAGTGTGGGAACTTATAGGGCTGAGGCCATAGCGGAAAAGGTTCTTTTTCTTAATTGTGCCAGCTGGAATTTATGTCCACACAAAGTATTTTGCAGATAAAAGTAACCCTTCCCTATTCTCTTTTGTAATGAACATTTGAGAAAAATAAATCTAGGGTTTTGTTTTCCTTACAGAAGCTTCACTGGTTCATAATTCTGCTTTTATATCTTCCCCTAAGATTTCATCCAAATATATTGTACTTAAAATACACTAATATATCTCAATATATCAGCACAGCTGAGAAAGTATTTTAGCAAATAACTTAAACAGCTAATAGAGGAAACAGATCAGTAATTCACCACATCACCTTTCTTATTTCCCCAGTGTTTGCCCAACCTATAACATCTGTGAATTGTGTGAAGCAGGATTATATTTCCATGACCCTAACCATGTCTTTCTAAAACTGCGGAGGCCCACTTGGCATATTTCAGACACACAGAGTCTTGGACAGCGATCATCATCTCTTGTCACTTCAGAGCAAGTCAGGTAAGCAACCAACTTCCTTGCTTCCATTGTGAGCCCCTTGAATTGTTTATGTTTAGAGTGCTCATGATAATGAATTTAACATACAGTGAAAAAAGCTCATGGAGGAATCAAAGATATAGCTAAGTTCATATCACTATGGAAAATTGAGTTTGTCTCCATGCCTTTCTTTCACCTCTAGTAGATGGTTGTAGATGCCCTACTGAAATGGACAAAGACCAGAATTTCTGATAGGGTAGGGCTTTGTTTTGGTGGTAGCAGAGATACTGTGTTTGTTTTGCTTTGTTTTATTAAGACTAGAAAAAAAGCTTGTAGATTCCTTAAATGACTTACTGCTGAAAAGGTGGCAACCAATAATGGTATTTGGATATCATGAAAATAATGCTTGTTTATTGCTAGTGGTCCTCTAACCATGGATTGTCCAGTTAACTTAGGAGACATCCAGCTCCACATTTTTTTAATAGAGGAGAAGCATAATTAATACCTTATTTCTAATTGTTCAGATTCCAGATGGACAAGAATTTCTTGAAAGCAGAGAAGCAGCGTTTACGAGGAGAAAAGAAGCAGCGTAAAGCTGAAGCACGGGAACTCAAGAAGCAACTTAAATTGCATCAGAAGTTTAATCTATGGAACTCAGTTCATGCTCTTGACCACCGTGGTTTGGCAGCTGCAAAATCTGAGAGGCTACAATCTAGTACACTACTGTAAGCAAGCCTGGACCTGGGTTATGTTTGGAAAGCTCATTCTGCACATTCCGTGTTGGCTTTTAGTGGACTGTTAGCTCCTTTTCTAGCCAGTTCATGATTTGTGCATTTCTAGTATGTTCGGTATCTTTAACGTCCTGCTTATCTAAAAATACAGTTTTAAAAGACTATTAGATAAATTGTGATTCATTAGGTCATCATTTCAGAGATAATTCCTTAACAGAGAAACAGAATGGGCAAGAACAAAAACTCTGGAAGTGGGAAATGATTTCCTGCTGGCTTTACCATGACTAATCACATTCCAGCAGCCAATGGTGGGGATCAGTCTACCCAGCCTGTACAGTGAACCAAAATAAAAGACTAAGGGCAGAGGACAACTTTTTCCTTTTGGATATCACAACAACGGTCTCAGATTTTGGTTAGCCAGTTGAGGTGCCTGGTTCAAAACTAGTTGCCCTACGATGGTCTGTTTTGTCCAGTTAAAGGTTACAGGAATGATAGTTTCAGTAGTATGTAAATTCATAATCCCTGATACATTTTAGATCAGCTTCCTAGATAGCTAGGTATATTTGACTATTGTTCCTAGAATACCTACTGAGAATGGCTAATGAGCCGGCAGATTTGAAATTTTACTGATTTGTCTCTGGTTTCCTTCGTTTTACAGTTCTCTGCAGCGATGTCCAGTTGTTTCCACACTGAGTGCAGCCTTTGTAGATGAGAATTTACCAGATGGAAGTCATCTTCCACCAAAGATTATCTTCATGAAGCATTGGCGTATGAGGAACACAGGCAATATGGCATGGAGCTCAGATACCAAGGTGTTTTTCAATATTTAATTTGTAAAGATACATGCTAAAGTCTAGCTTTGGCACTGAGCCTGCTCCCTTTGCTCATCTCCTTTAGCACTTTCTGTATCAATATTGGGATGGTACTTTATAAGGTGCATTAGTACTTTGTTGCATGTTTTGGGATGAGTCGTGCTAAAATTTTGTTTTCTACTATTCCAATAAATAATAGCTCTCAGGAATATAACTTTATACAAAGGTTTATTTTAAACTCCCAACCACCCACTTTTGAGTTTTGGCTACACTGTTAAAAGCAGAAACTATGGTTCTGTACTGCTCTGGTTGCTAAGTAAATGGGAATTGAAGGATTTGTTTTAATGAATCAGAGATGCTCAGATCTCAGAACTGTATACATTCAGTGAATTGTGATTTGTCTCTTAAGTGATATTAGTCTGTTTCATTATCACTTATCCCCAAGATTATCTAATAACTTTCTCTCTGCAGCCCGATTCTTGAAAGGGGGCTTCTATGTCATAGGCCCAGATACTTAAATGCAGGATTCTGATTCTTCTTCACACTAATTTTTCTTCGTGTTGCGAAGTGCCTGAAAACCACAGAAGCTCAACTCAGAATGGAAGTTTGAGTCTCTGTTTACCAACATTTACTTAATGAAAGACTTTTTGGACATAAGGCTTAAAAACATTCATTTATAACCAGTATGAAAAACTTGCATGCTTTTGTGTTACAATAAAATAACTTTCCCTTCTCTTCACATTTCAGCTAAAATTCATGTGGGGAAACATAACTCTTATGTCTTCTGAAAAAAAAGATGTGATTGTGCCTTCCCTACTTCCTGGGGAAGAGGGTTTTGTCTCAGTGGAGTTTGAAGCCCCAGCAACGGAAGGAACCTATACATCCCACTGGAGGTTATCACATAAAGGAGAACAATTTGGACCCCGGATCTGGTGCAGTATTGTGGTTGACTCCTCTTCTTCCACAATTTCCAATCTTTCTGACCATGGCAGATTGATGCCTAGCTGTTGCCAGAATAGTAGATCTCTTTACAAAGAAGAGGTAAGGCCCTCATGTACCTGGGTCTATTTAAGACACTGTTTTTTTCCTCTCCATATTTTTTCTCCACCTCTCACATTTTGTAATTTTAATATATCTCTGCCTTCCCTCTCTTCCCCTACCCTCCTCTCCCCTCTCTTTTGCCTTACATCTGTATTGTCTCCACTCAGTAGCCCCTCTTCTTCAATGTGCATATTCTCTCCTGATTCAAATAATTTAAATTCCTAGAATCAATCAACTAACTATCCTTCAAACAGTTAATTTGTTTTAACAATTTGAATCCCTGCTGTTTTCAGGTATAACCGAGAAAAAAGATCTTGATCAGATACCATAGAAAGCCTGCTGATCAATCTACATGGATTGAAGATTATGAGACTTGTCATCCAAATCTGCAGGACTGTTACAAATTTTGCCAGGATCAATGTATTAGTCTGCATGAAATAGTTTCCCAAGCAAAAATAGGATCCTGAAAAAATCCTAGTCTATTTATTCTATTAACTTCATTCTAAACTAATTACAAGGGGGCTGTTTCATCTGTTTCTCAGCTCAATAATATAAGGGATATATTATCTTTTTAAGAAAGATAATATTTAACTTCTGAACGAGCAGAACAATGAGAAAAAGTATACTAGTATCACTTATTTTTTTAGAAAATACAAAGATGTATTGAAGAGTTAACTTTGCAAGTTTATTTTTGTTTAGCTGAAAAAGAATTAAACAAAATAGAACTCCAGATTCTCTATACCAAATATTTTAAATAGATTCAGTCTTTTTTATATAATATAGAATAACAAAATGAAAATGTAGAGATCAAGGTAGTATGGAAGATGTTCTGCAGTATAAACAATACAAGGAAGTGCTTGAGTAAAATAGTTTACTCCTTCATTATTACTTCTTTTCTCTATAGGAAAGAGCTTCAGAATTTAAGGGGGAAGTAAGTTTGGCCAACCGAGTTGCATCATCAAAGATGAAAAAAATCCTCAATGCTAGAGAGTTTTACATCCCATCACTTGATCTTCTCACAGCTCAGGTGAAATGTCTGGTACAGACCAAAATTCAAAATGGGTTCAGATAAAAAAAAATTATTCCATAAGTTTTCTCTGTCATTAAATTGTTCTTTTTTCTTCCCATTAGGATTTGCTCTCCTTTGAATTGCTAGATATTAACATAGTGCAAGAATTGGAACAGGTCCCTCATAATACTCCTGTTGGTAAGTTGTGGCAAATACAGTCTCATCGTGCTTTCTCAATATAGTATGTCTAATTGGTATTATTGGATACCTGCCAAGGCCCATACTTTTTCAGTAGGGAATTCTCTGCCAGCTCCTAGAATCTTCTGAATTTGCTGCTGCTTCTTGCAATTACTGTTTTTTGCCTGCTCTATTAAGCAAGCAATGTTCTATTTGCTTATTGTGAAAAATGCTGAGGTTTCTCACAGTATGGAACTATAATGAGATTTGTAAGGCTTAGTCCCCTCCTTATTAGTTTCCTCAAGGTAAATATAGTTGGGTCAGCATCTGCTACCTTTAATACTCTTGGCCAACATACTAGGATGTATTATCACATTATGCCTGACTGTAAATGACGGTTGAGGTGAACAGGATAAATTTGTGAATTTTTCAGTATGATCTATGATGCTCAGCTAATCATGTGGTAAAACATTTCTCTCAATTATTGGAAATCTTTATTTCTTTCTATTTGGTTCAAGGTATGTTTAGTCCTTAACTGTTGACCAATCCATCACTTTTCTTTCCTACAGATGTGGCAATGGAAAGAATCTATAAAAATAGTTTCAGAAATACAAAAAAGGGGTTTATGTTTTTCCTTGTGATATTATCCTTATCTTGCTTTTTCAGATTCCATACAAGGTCCAAGCCCATACAAAATCCATGAGTGCACTTCTCTGCCAAAAACAACTGTCTTAGATCAGAAACAAGAAGAGAATGAGAGAATCACATATAAATTACTGTCTGGTAAGCAATGAGAAATACTGTGAGGGCCCTAAAAATTCACTGTTCTTCCCCACTGGGTTTCCTTATCAGGTAGAAGCCAGAAGTCTCAACTAAAAACTGAATGATCAACCATTTTAATTGGCTTTATCATTAACAATCAATTTTGCTGCAAAGCTGCTAACTTTAGAATTTGGAAAATTTACCAGATAGTTTTAGTGATACTAACAAATGATTGCCAGGTTGTATGGACTTAGTCAAAGCTGCATTATAGACCAAGATAATCTAAACTGCTTTCAACAGATTTACCTAGTTTGTATTTTATATCTTCAGCTTTTTTTCTTACAATATAGCTCCAGCTATAAGATACGCTTCATCCCTTGATAACCAGAATATACTTGGCTCAACATGTCTTTCTTACTAGGCCTATGTTCAAATATTATAAAATCTAAATTTTATAGACTTAGAAATTTAAGTATTTCTAATTTATGTGTACAAAGTTCAATATTCAGGTTCTGAAATGTCCTCCAAATCGGGCTCTTGATGTTTTGTGAAAATTCTGTTCTTGCAATCCTGTAACTTGAATGGTATCATGCTTCCTTTTGATGTATCTCACTGCTTGAAGTAATTACATTCATTAGGTAAAATGAATTAGATAAAAATGACTACCAGAGATTAAATGCAAATTCAGTATCTATGATAGCTTTCTCTATTCTGAAATTTTTGGTAAATACTGCCAAGAATATTTAATCTCATCCTATAGATGCTCAAGTCAGCAAAGGGAAGGCTGAAAATTCAGGAAACCAAGAAGAAGGAGAGGAAGACATGAGTGGGACCCAGTTTGTATGTGAAACAGTCATTCGTTCTCTCACCTTAGATGCTGCACCTGACCATCAGCCCCCACAAAAAAAGAAGTCTTTTCACAGTGAGTGCTTTCAAATGTCTTTGTTAAAAATCTACCATATTCAGAAAATACCTCCAGCATCATTATTTCCTCTTTTTTGTTATTGTTGATTTAGATTCTTTGCAAACACTATCTGATATTGCCCACTGCAGCACAGAGAACAATGATTCCATTAACCCTGTTTCTGTATCAGAGGAACTACAGGACACAGTACCAACTTCTGAATTTGGTAAGACTTGATGGTTAGTCTTTGCTTTTCTGAAGAGTTAATGAATTGAATATAAGTAACATCTCTGCTTAATGAAGAAGTTCCCAAATTGGATCAGATGAACAGAGTTAACATAATAATGAGATTTACTGTTAAAGATTTCACTAAATTACTCATAGTTTATGAGAGATTGATGTAGTAATTAAGGCATCAGGCTGGAATGAGTCACAAACTCAATTTAGGTATGAAGCCAGCTGGTGACCTTGGGCCATTTTCTTTCAGCCATTAGAAAGAACAATAGCAAAACCACTTCTGAAAAACTTCATTAAGAAAACTGGAGGAATTAGTTCAGGCAATGAACAGAAGTCAAAAGCTGATTTGATGGCACATACCCCACATACATTCTTAGTTTTTTGTTACTAAGATACATATTTGAAATGCATGTGCCTGAGAACTTCCTATGATTTGGATGGTGGGGAATAAGTTTTAGTTTATGACGGTTGTGTCTTGGGTATACCTACAAGACAGAATGATGAAGACATTGTGGAAAGGACTGCAATGCTGACATTTATACTGAAACACTATTCCCTGTCTTCTAGAAAACCTCCCAGTGCAAGATGGTGAAGAATCAAATATAGAAGCTGACAATGATACTCAGGATGAATTCAGCAGTCAGGCATCTTCTCTTTCTGAAGATTTTATCATTGTTCTTCCGGAATGTTTTGATACCAGTCGTCCTCTGGGCGAGTCAATGTACAGTTCAGCGCTCTCTCAGTCAAATTTAGAAAATGTTACCATGGCTCCAGCAAATCCTGAAGAAAGCCACACATCAATGAATAGCACCAGTGATATGTTGATTACATCTCAGACCCTTGATGAAGTGTCACTGACTCCTCAGAGTGGGGAACCACGGCTAATAAGGTACCAAGTAAACTGAGAATAATCCAGAATCTTAAGATTTCAGTAATTTCTATACTTTTAAGTAGCCTCCCAAAGAGAAGTGTTGATTTCTGAGTGTACATACCAAGCCAAAATGTACAAACAATTCCAAATGAAAAAGCCATTTGGAATTTTACTATATTATAATAGATATAATAAAACAAGTACCTGAATGTGTAGCATAGCCCAGTATCCCCAATTTTCATTCTTTGGAGCTTTTGGTACACTACTATGAATATTTATTTGTTTTTCTCTAATAGATTTCGGGCTCTTTCTGAGAGTTCCCAAGAAGCAAGCGAGGAAGCCCTGTTGGTTCCTGTCCAAATGAGAGAAGGTATTGTATTGCAATGTTCTACATGATAGACGATAAGCAGGAGTTTCTAACTGCTGCTCTCCAGAGATTTATGTATATTTGAAGTATACATACGTACATATTGTTTTTATTAAGTAAATCAGTAAATTTTACAAATGTAGTTTGTAGGAATATTCTCTATTCCTTCTGGAGCACAAAGATGGATTATTTTCTCTTTTTTTATGTTCTTGCTCTCATGTACTTTTATTTCCACTTTCTTGTAGAATTACAGAGATATGAGTCTGAGGTTTCATCTCCAGAAAATATAAATAACCCATCAATGTATCCTGAATCATCTAGGTAAAAAAAAATCAAACAGATTTCATCATGATGTGAATAATGATTTTTGTGAGATTTTTGATGTGTCAATTAGGCTTTTGTTTCTTCCTTTTTCAGAAATGTTGATTTAATCTTACAGTTGAACAAATCAATTGAGGCTTTTTAAAAAACTGCACTACTGAAGTAGGAAGCCACCACAGGCAAAAGAAACTAGAGCAGACAAATGGTTTTAAAAGAACAATCTTAAGAGATTGTTAAGAGAACTCACTATTTCCCACTACTCTTCGGATGCAGAAAATGCTAATTTTAGTTTTTGGCATGTTCACTGAAGATATTGGGTCATTGGATTGGAAACTATTTGTAATGAGTAGGTTATACTGTGCTGGGTGGATCAGTAATCTGATAGGGAAAAAGCCTTTTCCCTTTATTTATATGTTTTAAACTCCAATTTGATTTGCAGACATAGCCCGGGAAATAGCCTTGCTGGTGGCCTGGTGAAAGGGGCCTTATCAGTGGCTGCCTCAGCTTACAAGGCATTGTTTGTTGGGCAAGCCCCCATGGATCAGGTAAATAGATTATCTTGTCACCTTATGAGTCCCAGAAAATATACCTTTTCTATGGCTGCCTCTGCTCTGTAGAACAACCCCCCATTCCCTGATGCATTAGATGCCATTTGAATGAGAATCACCTTTTGGTTGTTTTATTATGTGCTTGGTCGCCTTTTTATATATTTGGTTACTGTTGTATAATGGGTTTTTTTCTTTTTAATTATTTGTGCTGCATGCTGCCAAATCATATTGTTTAAAGTCCCCGGCCTTATACATTTTAAAAATAAATATGGACAAGCAAGGACAGGAGGGTGTACATTTTATAGTTTCAAAATTAATCCTTACAGATGAGGATACAGCAATCTAAAAAACAGGTTGCTAGTTTTGTGAATGCAAAGATAAGCTTGAGAACTGGGTAATATAGTAAATTATTACAAATAAGGAAAATAATGCTCAGTACAGTAGAAATTTTTCCAATTTAAATTTTGCTGAGATTATTGTAGTATCTGAGGTGTATATAAATGTTTGCTTTATGCAACTTTGCATTTGTGTGTTTGTTTCCTCTTTATATTGATATTTCTGTACTTTTCATCCTTCCAGGCTGTTTCTGTAACCAGTGAAAATCAAATGGCTTCATTTCTGACTCACCTACATGAAATGGGCTTCTGTGACAGACATCTTAATCTCCATCTGTTGCAGAAACATAAATGTGACATGAATCTTGTTGTCACTGAGTTGCTGAAGCTGAATCAGGGTGATTGGTATGGGAACCCATACTGAACCTTTTTCACTTGTGCATTAAAAAACGTAGTAGCAACTGGCACCAGCAGCTTCTAGCTCCCTTCTGTCATAAGCAGAGCCAAGATGGCTTCACTTTTATTTTTCAGTACATTATAATTCCTACCATCTCTATTATCCTACAGCTCAGGCATTAGAGTATCTTTTATTTTAAAATGTTTTTCCCCAGATTGGTGAATGCCAGATTGTAGATAGGAGAAAAGAAGTGATTATGCTCCAGAAATATAAGTGGAGTTAGCAGCCAACATAGGCTGTTTGTTTTCTAATTTACTTCTCTTCTGGTTAAGCAATACTTTTATCCCACATTTAATGTTGTGTGTTTTGCAAGACACTGACATTATCTGAAAACTATGTCCTCATTAGGAAGATTCCATGAAAACCCCACAATTCCATATTTTTCTGGTTATTTCCCTGTTAGAAGCAGAACAATTGGTAATGTCAATAAAAATACTAAAGGTGTAGCTGTTTATACTCCATAATTCTTTAGAGACAAAATATGCTCAAGCTATTTGAAGGGTAGATAATCAAGACAAATCTGTTTAAAAAATTATTTTTGTAGACTTTTACCAGCCAGCAGTGTTCGATAGCAGTAAATACTGCTCTCACAAGTAGTATTCCTGATTTCTCTACCCAGATGTTAGATCAATTTGAAGTCCTTAAAAAAGCAATAGTTTAATAAATCTTCAGCTTAATTATATAGTGATTAATTAAATACCTGATAGAAATTTTTGCCTAATATGTAAAAGAAAGAAAAAGACAAAAATATGAATGAATGATATTTAAGGAAAATAACTTCCTGTATCTCCATTAATCAAAATAGAGGACTCAAGAATCTGTGGGGAATTTCTGCCCATACCCGGAAATAAATACTGTAAGGATTTGATCCTAAACAGTTTACACTTTTTGATTTGACTCTCAGGTGTTCCTTTGATTTTTTTCATATAGGATGAAAGGAATGTCTTTTCATAAAGCATGCAAACAGTAATGGGATGTACACAAGTATAGCTTTTCTGTGATTTTGGTAGGAAAATAGTTAATGATTGCAAGAGTTTGAAATGAGAAACGCAGATTGAGGAGCTGAGGACAAGCTGCTTGTGCTATGTACTGCTTATTTAATATGTATACAAACTGAATATTGGAAGAGTTTAGATTTGCAACTTCTCTTGGGCTGATGGGGAAAACCTTTAAATTACTAGGTAGATCTTCATATTTTTTTCAATTACTTTATTTTGAATTACTTCAATCAACTAACTTCTTGTTGGCCCTGATGAAGAAAGCTTTCTTCTTATGTTTCATAAAAGGTGACATTTTCTTCTATTGGCTTTGTATGTTTTATAAGAAGTTGCATGATTGATAATTTAAACAATACTGATATTAAGATATTGTTTATTGCTTAGATTAAGCACCATGATCTTTGAGTTGAAAAATAAATATTAAAAATGCACACTAGGTTTGTCTTTGTGAAAATTTGTTCTTTCATCTTTAAAACAATTAGTAAAACCATATGGATTGCAAAAAAAACTTCTAATAAAAGCAAATGTGTTTCCATATAAAATACATCTTCATGCTGGGATAGCAACACTTATACAGTGAGGTACATTTATTATTCTTTATACCAGTTGTGTAGGTCCAAAGATTCCCTGAGCATGTGAAAGATCTTTCTCTTTAGAGATGCTGATACCAATTACATATTGTCATGTATATAACTCTTATGCAGATAGTGAAATACTGAGTGTGGGCTGCAGAGTGGTTATTTTAGAAAGAAGTCAAACTGTCACATTCAAAATTGGGGGGGGGGTGTTCAACTGTGTATGTTGTATTTAGAAAGCACAGGCTGCTTTTACAATATACAAAGAGAATAAAGAATTAATTGATTTGTCAAGTATAATTTCTTTGCCAGCTCAAAGTTTCATCCAGGTTATCAACTAATCAAATTTCTGAGACTATCCAATATTTTTACAAATTCAGAAACATGGCATATAATAAGTAATCTTATTTAGGGTCTGATATACACTACCATATAACTTCAGGAACTTAATCCCAGATCAGATAAAGGTTTCCCTTGAATTAAGTATTCTGGAAAGGATCTATTAAAAATTATGAGGAGAGGAATAATTTTGACATGCCATCAAGTGAACTTCTTGACATCTGAGTAAACCTCACCTGTTCTTAGAGCCACTGCCTTCAGCCCAACTCTAGGAAAGTAAGATGCAAAGCTTTTCTGCTGGCACATCCTCCTCGTTCTTTCTATACTTCCTGCAGGATAGTAAGCAAAGGCCTGTCTGTTACTCCATCTACAGTGCAATTCCCTGGGGGAGACTAGTTTGAAGATCAGAAATTAAATACAGGCTAAATCCACCTTCCTACTAGCATTTGGAATTATGAGGGAGAGACAGCCTAGTATTCCTACTTGCACTTGCAACAAATGGGCTTCCAAGTGAGAGGACCTTATGGGGGTGGGGTGGGGATGAGGAAACTAAATCTTATTTATTCAGGCCTGTGAGTGCAAATCCTATGGCAAATTACCAAATGATAATTCTAATGTGATCATTTTAAACTAATAGTGCTGGGAACATCCAGGGGATTATTTTGAGTCCCTAACATAAATTGGTGTGCCCAAGGTGAGTCAATTCATTTTGGCACATCTCCAACCCCGAAAACACTATTAAGGAACATTAATGCCTTTAAGGAGATAACTGCTGCTGTTTTACTCTGCCTGGGGCCAAACGCTGAATAGTAAATTGCACGAGAAATATCAGGTACATTTTTCCAATTTCGTCTTTTAAAAGAACCGTGCAATCAATTAGAACAATTGCAGTAGACTCTGGAACGAGGAAATTTACCAAACGCAATGAAAAAAATCACAAAATTCAGAGAGCGTATTTTACATTCTGAATTTAAAGTGAAAGTGAACCAGCGTCTCCGAACAGAGAAAGCGGAGCGAGCTCAGGCACACTTCATAAAGATCTGTTAATAAATGGAGCGAAATGCTAACCAATGGAAGCACAACCCCCTTTCAATAGAGTGTCAAAATTACACAAGCGCTTCCTTTCACACCCTTCCAAGGACCAAAACTAATGTAAAACGCGGAAGGTAGACGCTCAAACACGTGAGCGTGGGTATTTACATTAAGCCACTCCTTTTATTTAACGCGACACATTTATGCTGCGCCTGTACAGCGGATTTTGGCATGGGCTTGCAGCACATAGGAAGGGTTAGGTTGGTTAAACTACGAGTTTGAGAGCTCTTTTGAGGAGGAAGAGCTATTGTTTTGATGGGCTTCACCTCCATGCAATTATGAAACGGATTGATCTATTGCAAGGCTCCAGTCCTCAAAGATATTTACTTTGGAATATTTCCAAGAGCACTCTCAGTGTCGAATAAATAAGCGTAAAGAATCACGTTGTAAGTCACAAGGTTCATTTTTTCAGTCAGTGTTTAACTTTGGTACCTCCCATTTCCGAGGAAAAAATGCGGATCTGAATCTTTGCTGGTCTCGGGGGAAAAATGCACCTTAATAGAACGAATGAAAAAGAAGGGAAGTGACTATCGAGGGTGGAGCTGTTTATTTCCCACCTCTTGCAGGACGGTGGGAGTCGTGTGAAGGGACGAAGGATGGCACCATTGTAGTATTTTTTTTTAATTTTCTGTTTGATGTGTATCATTGGCTGAGGAGTCCTAAGGATTTAGCCCCTGACTCTGGCCTCGGCGGAATACGGTGAGCACATACTCTCCTTAAGTTCTTCAGAAACCTTTCTAACGATCCACATATGACTCTCATACTCTTACTGTACTGTTTTCTCTCCACCCACCCCCTTCCTCATTGATTTACCTTCCGCTGCTTTGCTTTCGCTCTTGTTTTTATCTACTTTTTTAACCTTTCTGTCTTTCTGAAACCTGGGCCGTTATGAGGATTCAAAAATACTTTATTTCTTCTGATTTCATGCCCCATTTCTTTTAGACGAGTGATTTTTAATATCCGTCGTTTTGCAGCAAAGTAATTTGACATTTAACACCATTATGCTGACCAGAAAAATGCCCCGTTGGTAGAACAAGGGAACTTAAGTGAATTTCCTATTTGCTTGGAAGCAACCAATGAGGGTGATGTTCCTTGTGAAGCAAATTCATTAATTTGTACTCTTTTCAGATTGCATAGCAGATTGAGAAGGCAAAGTTTGTTCCAAGATGGCAATCTACCACTTTACTGTTTAGCAACATTTCTCAGACATGAACAAGAACTCATATTAAAGCATAAACTTAGCAGCTTATGGATCCTAGAATGCTGTGCATATATAATTCTCACAATTTATAATTAGGTATGTTATGCAAAACCTAAAGATTGGCTTAATGTGAAAAAATTTAACAGCAATAAGTTAGGGTATGTAAAAACAACTTTGACTCCTTGGTTTTTCCCCATGTCATCAACATCAGCACAGCTCTTTGTCAGCTGGCCCCTTTCTGCCCTTTCTTCAGCAATTTAATAGAATCAATAGTTGAAGCTTTTCACAATATTATTGTCTGCTAATATTTTGAAGTTATCATATATGTTAAAAGTACAAAACAGTATTGTAGAGATATACTTTCTATCTAATTGACTTTCTAAACAATCTTGAAAAAATTCAGCCAGCTGTGTTTCAGTATATATAATAGTTGTTTTATTTTAAATATAAAACTGAGTTGTTTCAAGTGTAGATATTTACAAATGATAAACAGAATCAATTATTTACTGTGCTTTATAAAATATTTATAGAAGACTAATTCAAAGACTAATTACCTACTTAGCTAAGTTTTTATTGTAAGCTGCTCAGAGTTGTATTTAAGATGGAAGGCCATGGAAAATTTTAAAATAAACAAACAAAATTTTGAGGTAAGATGGGAAACATATAAATTTAATAAACTAATAAACCTAAGTTTAGGATCAATTAAAAAGCACAAAATAGAAGTTTCAAATTCATCAATCATTTTTTTGTCAATGGGATAATACAAAAATAAAAAGTCCAGAAATTAAGTCAAATGTTTGTCATGAGGTAATTAAAAATTAATCTCAAAAAATGAAATGATGGGACTGAATTCAGTAGATGATGGCAATATTAGTGTAAGGTACAGCTAGCATTCAGGAACAAAATAACTGCTTCCTCTGAGATAATTAAAATCCATTTAGTTTTCAGTCTGTTTTGTGACATGAGTAAAGTTCACAAGCTTCTGACCAGCTGGAAAGTAGAATTTAGAAGAATTACAGGTTTTGTATCAGAAGAAATGGAACATAATTTAGGGTAATTCATTAGGTTACAGACAATCAACTAAATTCTATCTAGAGTTGTAAAGGAACAACACTTCAGAAAGAGAGCCCTCTTAAATAGAATAAAATTATTTTCGTTTGAATGTTGGCTTTCTCCTAGGAATCAATCATTTTTCCAGAAGGGTTGCCAGGCACAGTACAATACAATCCATGATTATAGCATAATTAAATAGAAAATGCCTTTTCTGTATATAAATGAATTTTGAAAAAAAATATTTAATTGGAAGGGATTATTTTTGTAAAGTGGGATAGATTCAGAAAATAATCTTGAAATAATTTGTACTTATTTGTGTTAGTTATTCAGATTTTTGCCAATACATTTGAGCTAGAAAAAATTTGTTGGAGCCATGCTTACCTCCAAGTTTTCTTCTGCTATAATAGGAGTGTCCCTTTTTTTTTAATGGAGGCAAAAGAGCTAAAATGTTATCCCATTCAGAAGAATTTTTTCAAAAAAATTTGGAGAAAATTTTAAAGTACCATATTTCCCCGAAAACACAACATGTCCTGATAATAAGGCCATGCCATATTTTTCTGGTGGGCAAAAATATAAGCCCTCCCCCGCAAATAAGCCCCCTGGACAACCCCCCCACCTCCAGCCAGGCAGAGTGTTTCAAAGTGTTTCTGCTCTTGAAACTAATATTTATTTGAACTTAAAACATGTGTGCCACTCACCAGACTGAATTAGATGAACTAATTGCACCAATTTTACTATTCAACAGATTGATAAACTTGGGCAGGATGTTGTTTATGTATTAATGAAATTTCACAGTTAGCTGAGCTTAAGACCATAAAGCAGCAGCATTATTAGCAATTCAGCATCACATACCTGGATCCAATGAATTTCTGGAATGTGGGGAAGCTTTAGAAGGGAAAGGTATTTATGAAAAAATCGCTGATTTTAAATACTCTTTTCATTGTCTGAGTCCTAAATTCAGGAACGAAGTACTGCTTTAGAATCAAAAGTCCTTTTTGTGCTCTGATTTGTTAATGCTGCTTGTTTGCAACAGAAAAACAGTGTTTATGTACAATGGATAAAGCCATCTTGTGGTTCAACAACCTGTTTACCAGAAAGGAGACAGAAGAAAGCAAATCGATTATGCAGAAAAATTCATATGCTGAGAATAAAGCACCTTCTTATGCCAGCATTAATGGAGCAGATGCTTCAGAGGTGTCTTGTGTTCCTTGTAATCATACCAATCGAGGTTTTGTCACTTGTCCTACTTGCCAAGGAACTGGAAGAATCCCCAGAGGTAGGTATATTTTCAAGACTTGTTTTGCAGAGGTGACCTGGCCTTGTTGATTGACATTCAGAGTCAAACCTGCCCCCCTCCTATTTTATGTATTGTTTAAACAAGAGATTCATTAACTGGGCTTAGTTATACTAATCTATAGAGCTGTTTTGACCTGATTAAAATAGCTGTGGAAAGACAAGCAATTCTCATGTACATATTTTTGCAATGAAAATAGTCAGACCCCATACGTTGTGTTTTGCACATAGGGAAGCTTTTATTAAATTGACAGATTTCAACAGTTCTGGCAGCTTTGAATTTTCCTAAAGATTTGCTTTTCCAGACTATTCCCTTATTTTTCTCTCTTCTATTGTTCTCCTTCTAGAGCAGGAGCAACAGTTAGTGGCCCTCATTCCATATGGAGATCAGCGGCTGAAGCCTAGACGGACGTAAGTACAGTCTTTTTCTTCTAAATGAATTTCTCCTCATTTTCTTCCTCCATCCTAGTGGAGTTATTATCCCTATTTGTTAGACATTCCTATCAGCGATTGCTATGTATGTTGTGGTGGGAGGAAAGTCTGTTATCACTAACTGCCTATGATCTGTTTTGGCAGGAAGATGTATGTATTTCTCACAGTAGCCATTTGCCTGCTGACAACTTGTCTCATGATGTACTTCCTGTTCCCACGTTCAATTGCGGTGCTCCCCTCAGGTCTCAATGCGTCCACCATCTCCTTTGACAATTCTTCTTCCAGCATCATCCTGAATATGACTGTAAGTTCAAGGAAGAGAGTGATGGAAGAGTGAGTTGGGGAGAGACATGGACCAAATTCATTTTATGAATCTTTTTAAATTCATCTGAGATTGAATATAACTCTGTGCTGGTTATAGGAAGCTGGGGGATAATATTGCAGGGCCACAAGTTAGAAACATGTCAATTCTGATCTAGAAGCCTCTCTTTTGTCCAGTTTCTATAATATATAGTTGCTCATTTTTCAAGGAAAGCTTGGTGAATAGGGTTAGATGTAATATTTTGTCAAAAGATCGATTTTAAGACTGAACCCTGGTGGATAGAATAGTTGTTGGGATAAACTTTGCTCCCAAATTAAATCTTAATCTTTTAAAACAAAAGAATAAATGACTAAATGACATTAAAAGGAATAAAGTTTAGTCAGTCCCTTTCTATTTCTTTTAACCCAGACCAAGCATTTCACTGGGTTTTGTGTGATCATGGTTCAATTTATTTTTAATCAAAACTTGAAACCTGCATATAAATAGAAGGAGAAGAAAGGTTATGTAACATAATTCAAGTTCTAAAAAGCTTGTGTCTGGCCACATGGTCTCTTTTTCAAATGTTTATTTAATCATAAGTTTCATCTTCAAAAAGTTGTCACTGGTTAACACATTATGGTTTGATCTAGCTTGGTTTTTTTTAAGGAGAAGACTTTAAAACTAGAATGAAATAAATGACTTAATGCAATGTCTGAACCCAGCATAAATAATCCAAGAATTACACATGATAATCTAACTCAATTTTTAAGGGATTTGTGTGGCTTTTGATAGTACCGTTCTGGAAGATATATTTCAAGACACAATAAAATAAATACTTGGTTAATAACACATCAAGAATTTGTTTCCTACTCAGAAGGGCTAGGGCATGAACAAGGACCTCAATATTCGTTGAACTCTTAGATCATTACTAACAAACCTTCTGACAAAAGGAAAATCTAAACATTTGTTCATAATTTGTATTGCAATTAAAACATAGGGGGGGACCCTTCAATGTTAGCAAGCAGCAATTCAATTTTTTCAGCCTTGAACAGCAGTACTTTTCTAAAAAGTAAATATTTTGAATACTCATATAATGGAGTCTAAGATAATGTGCCAGAATGCTTAGACATGTATACATTCATAGAAAATATCTTAGAGTTGAGAGCCAATTTAATTCTTGTCACCAAGATGATGCTCTTCAGATATTGCAGACTATAGCATCCATCAACCTAAACTAGCATAAACTGTTGATTAAGTATAGAAAACTATAGTCTAAAACTTCTGAAGAGCTTTTAAATTGCCTGTACCTGATGAAAATACCAGAATTAGAATTGTTTTATTTTGGGGAAGAAGAAAGAAATTGAATTTAATTATTTTTATATATGGAATAGAATAGAGTACATATCATCTGTTATATTGGCAGATCACTCTTACTATTTTTAATTATTTGTATTTGTATTTGTATTTGTATTTATTGGGATTTATAGGCTGCCCTTTTCCCTGAGGGGACTCAGGGCGGCTTACATTCGTAGGGAAAGGGGGAGTGCAATATAAAACAAAAACAGTATGTGACTAAAATAAACAGTAAAAAACACAACTTTCATTCAGCATTCAACACTCGGGCAGGGTGAATTAGAAACTTATCCCCAGGCCTGACAGGATAGCCAATTATCAACATCATATTCTTAATATTCTTTGTTCAATGTGTTAAGTTGTGCAATAAGTATACAATATATAATCTGTCCTTGTGTAGCAACCACGTTCCATTCCTTAAATCAGAAGCAAAATGGTCACTAAGTAAATATGTGATAGAAAAAGGATGGAAGGGAGGGAGAAGGTGGGGGTGCGGGAGAGAGGAAGGGAGGGGGGGAGAGAGAGAGAAGCTGTGAAGATCAATGGTTGCTGTTCTTTCATGCAGCAAAGCATTACTCTGGCATTTGGTCATAATGTACACCTTGATTGGAGGGGAAATTATAAATCCAAAGGAATTCCAGAGCAAGATGAAATTGCAGTTCTCATAAAGCTTTCCTTCCTCCCTCCATCTCTCATTGTCATAACCTCTGAACAGACTTGTATCATCAGCACACAACTTGTACAGCAGCTTAGCAGCATACCACACCCAAAGATAAATGTTGCAGACATTCAAAGCAGCATTATGCTACCAAGAAATAAGCACAATATTATTTCATGTGTAGAAATGCTGCCTCCAAATGAATGTGCTGAAGGACACAGAAAGGGCCAAACAACTAATCTTCTATAAACCTTCATCTCATGGACAAGATTAAATTGATCAAAAGGAAGCTGTTCTTAATTTAGTTCGGTTAATGTTGCTCTGTACCTAAAAGAAGCAGGTAATGCACAAGCTTTTAAACAATCACCTGCCAAAATCCACAGCTTGGAGTGTCACAATAATTCTTAGCATGCACCAAATGTAAAAACATGTCAATTCCATGTTTTGAATAGAATCTTGTATACTAGTAGAGCTGGCTCCTGCAGCTCTTAAAAAAATAAGAGTTAAATTTAGTAAGTAATAAACATAGAAAAACCTTTATCCGGGGCCAACCTGCTACTTGTCCAGATCACTATCCCACAATCATTGTCCTCTTTCCTTTTGCATTCAACCACTCATCCCCATAAAAGTAAATGGCTATCAACTATCGAGATGTGTACTGTTTAAGACACTGGGGCTTTGCAGCACTTCAGATACGATTTCAGAAAAGTGCTTGTATGGTTTTTGGAGGAGACCAGCAGATGTGGACTGTGTTTAAGCACCTGTCGACTTTTGAATTAAAAATCTGAAACTTTGCACAAACCTAGAAACCATACATTTCATCATGTTTTGTATTATATCTTAAAAAGTAGCAGCAACAGAGGCAGAGTAGGAGCCTTTTAAGGGCAAAAGTTCAAGAGAATCCTTTCATGAATGCAGACAATGTGCCAATTTACCACTTTTTTCTGATCACCTATCCTCCTTCTCTTTAGAACATATTAAATGTGACAAACAACAATTTTTATCCTGTGTATGTGGCTCAGCTTGACATTGAAGTCTTGCATAAAACAGTGGTGATTGGGAAAAAAACTGTGATGACTCAGTTGGATATCAAGCTTTTGCAGAGTGCCCAGGTGAGGACTTGAGGGGCTTTACTAATTTGTCTGAACACAAATATGAATACACTTTACAGTAACTTTCTCTTTCTGATATATTTTTAGATCCTTTACAGCATCTCTAGTACAATCATGGATACCAACACTTAGTAAGTACATTTCTAAGAAATGTTCCAGCAATTAGCTAATTCATTTTAAAACAATGGTGTCAAAAGTGAAATTTTATTTGTCTTGACAATTACATATCCTTCTTTTAATCAACTAGTTGATAGATTTTTATGTTGCAGAACTAATGGAGATGCTTTTAAAATATTTAGAGGAAGTTCTTTAGATTTATTTCAAAGGAGAAAAGGCCTAATTCTAGAAGATCATCCATAATGCTAATTTTCCCTGATTAATTTTGGCAATACAGAATTGATTATCCCCACTGCAGTAATTTAACATACCAACAGAACTTCTGATGAATTTGAAATCTACCTGTATTTTAAAGTAGAGGATTTAAAAATACTTAATTTGACTAAAAATTGATTTTATAACATTCTGACATAATGCCAATTCCATACTTAGTCAACAAAATAATAATCCTTAGCTGAAACAAAATCAAGTTTTGTTAAAACTTTAGATGGATATACCTGCAGTTCTCCAGAATCTATAGTTGTGTTCCTCCTCACCCCCACTATGGCAGCATTAAGCTACTTGACTCCTGTGTATAAATTGGCTGAAAATTATGCCATCATAAGAAAAACCCTTTTCATATTTTAATCCCTTCCTCCTCTTCCTTCACCTTGATGCATTTGTATTTTCTTACTGAAGTATTGGTCCCAATTGTGGGATTATCTCCTTGCCCCTATTGCTAGAAAAACAGGCACATCACCTTTCTTCCTTTTGGTGGGTGTTTAAGGACATATGGATTTCATTGATACACTGATACATTTTACTTCAACTCTTGTACAGTACTTGAACTTCAGTTCTTGTACAGTACTCAATATTTTCCCATCTGATGCCGTCATGGGTCCAGTAAGGATATAAACATGATTTTATCATTATTATTAATACTTGAACTAAAAGGAAAAAAACTTGACAATTTCACCCGATAAGAGGATAAGAGGTAAGAGAACTCTACCATATCAGTGCCATCAATGACCTTGTAGCAAGCATCACCAATTCACATTTATTTCTGTCCGTTGGGATGTAAGGGGAAACTAGCAGCCTCTATTCAAGTTCACATGGTTAAAAAAAAACCTTTAACCATTCCATCTGTGAATTGTTTAAAAATGCCTAGCTTTTCACATTTCCACTGGTGAACTTGTCTGTGAATGTGTTTATGAGTGTCTACACACACATACAAGTAAAAAGTCCAGCCTTTCACCATTCCATAATCCAACAACCCAGCATGAAATGGTGACTGAGGCTTGGTTGAGGATGATATGTATTCCTGCTCTTAAGAGATATTAATTATTAATGGCCTATCCTTGCCTTAAGACAACCTGGTTGTGCAAATCAATCTTTAAGGATTTTTCTGGTTATTTTCCCCAAGATACTTTCATTTATGGATGCCAGGACTTGAACATACAAATTCCTGGGTTTCATTGACCAAAAGCTTTCCATTAATATGGAATATACCCACTTCATCTGTAAAATCTAGAGAAACTAGTCTAATTCAATAAACACCATAAAGGTGTACTAAAATACAAAATGAATTAAAGTATGACTTTGTATGTGCCACATAATAATAGTGAAATTCTCCATTATTTCAGCAAAATTTGCACATGGGCCAAAATAAAGGTTCACAATGTTCTTCTGCATATACAGTAAGTCTGATTCTCTGTTTTATGATAGCTAACTCTTGGTCCAGTATTTGTATCTTTTAACCTAAAATCCTAATGATTAGATGGTTGGTTTAGTTTGTAGGCCAAATATTTCATTCTGCTCAAACGAGGAGCATATTTTTAATCAAGAGAATCTTCTCTTACTTACCATATTTTCGGAGTATAAGATGCACCGGAGTATAAGACACGCCAAGGTTTTGAAGAGGCAAATTTTTAAAAAAGTAGGGAGGGAGAGAGAGGTAGAGAAAGCAAGAGAAATATAGTAGGTAGGTAGAGAGAGTAGGTAGGTAGGTAGAGGGAGAGAGAGAAAGAAATAGAAAGAGATAAATATAGTAGGTAGGTAGGGGGAGAGGGTGTGTAGGTAGGTAGAGGGATAGAGAGAAATACAGCAGATAGAGAGGGAGAGAGTGTGTATGTAAGTAGGTAGGAAGAGGGATGGAGAGAGAGAAATACAGTAGGTAGGGAGAGTGTGTGTGTAGGTAGGTAGAGGGATAGAGAGAAATACAGTAGATAGGGAGGGAGAGTGTATAGGTAGGAAGAGGGATAGAACAGAGAGAAATACAGTAGATAGAGAGGGAGCATGTAGGTAGGTAGAGGGATAGAGAGAAATACAGTAGATAGGGAGGGAGAGGTAGGTACGTAGGTAGATAGAGGGATAGAGAGAAATACAATAGATAGGTAGGGAGAGTGTGTGTGTAGGTAGGTAGGTAGAAAGAGGGAGAGAAATACAGTAGGTAGATAGGGAGAGAGTGTAGGTAGGTAGGTAGGTAGGAAGGTAGAGGGATAGAGAGAGAGAAATGGAAACAGAAATACAGTAGATAGATAGGGAGAGAGAGAGTAGGTAGATGAAAGAAAGAAAGAAAGAAAGAAAGAAAGAAAGAAAGAAAGAAAGAAAGAAATACAGTAGATAGGTAGGGAGAGAGTGTAGGTAGGTAGAAAGAGGGAGAGAAATATAGAAGATAGGGAGAGAATGTGTGTAGGTAGGTAGGTAGGTAGGTAGGTAGGTAGGTAGGTAGGTAGGTAGGTAGGTAGAGGGATAGAGAGAGAAATGGAAACAGAAATACAGTAGATAGGTAAGGAGACAGAGAGAGAGAGAGAAATACAGTAGGTAGGTAGGGAGAGAGAGAGTAGGTAGGTAGGTAGGTAGATGTTTCCAGATGTATTTATCCATGTGCTGGAGAAGGAAATCGCTGACAAACCTTATGACTTTGTTTCTGCTGGCACAGCACTTGATCAATGTAATTCTCATCAGTTAAAAGGCTTTCCAAAGGGGTGGGGGGAGTTTTGCACTCTGCAAACCTCCCAAAAATGGCCAGTTTTTCACGAAAATGGGGGCATTTTTTTTCAAATAAAAGGCATGAACAGCCTTGGGGGGCTTGCAGAGTGTTCCTGGGAGGGGGGGGGCAAAAGAGAGGGCCAGTTTTTTGTCAAAAAAAATTGCATGCATAGCCTTATGGAGGCTTATAGAGTGCTGCTGGAGGCTGGGGTGGCAAAAAACGGCTCATTTTTTCCTTATTTCTGCCCTCCCCAGCCCCCAGGAGCTCTCTGAAAGCCTTCTAAAAGCTATGCATGGCCATTTTGGTGAAGGGGGCGGGGCTTTTTTCTTTTCTTCCTTTTTGAGGAAAAAACTGTGTGTCTTATACTCCAAAAAATACGGTAGTTGTTTTGCTCCTTGTTTAATCATTTCATCATATCACTAATCAATGTAATTAATGTAATTTCTATAGGAATTATATCACTTCTTTTTAAAAAAACATATATTGGTTCTCTCTATAATGACTAATAAACTTCCAGATCTGTTAATTTTGCATTCTCTGTCCATTATCTTCCAAAATATACCATTGAGAATAAAGTCTGGGATTTAAATTATTGGTAGAAGTGACAAGGAGGTATTGTATTTGTAAACATTTTTTTACCAAATTCCTATTTTTCTCTCCTTCCAGAGGTACACTGACTTGTTCCTATCTCTCTCATTCGGAGCAACTTTCCTTTGAAAAGTATCAGTATGTGGATTGCAGAGATGGTGTCCTACTGTCTTGATTCTAAAATCTCTCATGGCTACAGTAGAGTCCTGGGGGAATTCCTTTTGGCTGTTTCTTCAGTCCCCTTCAGTGAAATTGCAGTAGCATGTGTTTCATGCCTCTGGGGATTTATAGTGTGGGAAGAAACTGAAGTTTTGATTTCTTTTTTGCCAGTTCTACAAAACAGGAAGATGGCTATGGCATCACATTCCTTTTAAGATAGCATATAATGATGCTAATGGACTAAAAGAACAGCAGAATGGCACCTGAGTGCAGAAAACGGGATGCAAGAAGAACATGCTAACTTGAAACAGTTATGCTTCATATTTGAATAGATTTAGGCTGCATGGATCACCAAGTGGCTGCTGAATTTGCCGATACTGTTTATTTCTTTTGGAGATTACTGCCTGGAACTGGGATCTGTAAAAACAATGAAACATGCCACTATAGACTTTATTGGAGGGCTGGGGGTAGATCTGATGTGTTCTCCTTTTCCCAGAACTATCTTCTCCCAGACCGATATAGCAGGAGGAAAACTTGGATTTTTTGAAGGAGGCATTACCACTGAATTAAGGTTGTACTTCTTCTCCCACTAGATTTCCCCCTGTTCATTAGTTCAGCTGTTTTCTAAGTTGTAGGGAGAAAAAAAGGTTTATGAAGCCAAAATAATTGCTCTGTTTCAAATGCTGCTTTTCTAAATCTATTTCTACTATAGCTTTATTTTCTTGTTTTATTTTCCTAAACTTTATTAACTTTTTAAAAACAGAATACAAAAAAGCAAAGAAAACATTAAAAGGTTTATTCACTGTTGGAGCTAAGAAATGAATAAAATCCTGAATATATTTTTTCTTTGACCAGTATGACAGTTCTCATACAAAAAAGGATCAGTAAAAAATGATTATGGCCTTTAAAATTAGGTAGGTTTGAAACAAATTGTGCAATGCTGCCTGGTGATAGTATATGATAGAAAGACAGTTGGATAAAAAAACCTGGTAACTGGAAAATGCAGTTATTTACCCATCTTTTTAAAGAGATACTTGTACAATACTTCCTAAATTCTTTCAAGTTTGGTTTCATTTGATATGCAAACTATTTAGTACTGCAGCATAAATATCAGGTAGGTTGAAAAAGAAGTATTTTATTAGGATCTAATGGACCTTTTCTGGCCGCACTTTATTATTATTATTATAATTATACAATTGTATCACAGCGGCCAGTTGTTTCGCCGGATTTGGCATTGGTTACTAGTCGGGCCCCATCCAGGGGCCTAGGACGTCGTAACCAGAGGTGGGTTCCTACCAGTTCGCACCTATTCGGTAGAACCGGTTCGTCAAATCTACCGAACCAGTTAGAAGAGGTTCCATCAGTGGACCCAGAAAGTAGGCCACACCTACAGAAGAGGTTCCAAAAATTTTTGAAACCCACCACTGGTCGTAACGTATTATTATTATTGTTATTATTATTATTATAGCTAATATATTAGAGACCAAAAGTAGTTTATTTTCTTGTTCAGGAAGATCTGATTTCTTTTTTATTCTTTTTTCTGAATAAAGCTATATTGCTACAAATAATCATGAGACAAATAAGACAATGTGTACTTGGACTCCTTCCTTTTAACTTCTCTGAAACTGGAATTGACAATGGGCAAATTTAAAAACCATTGATCTAGAACTGTGAGGTGGGTGCTTAGTACTTTTAAAAAAAATATTAAGCACCAACTCCACCGCCTCAGTCAACCAGAATAAATAAATGGGCAGAACAGAGTTTGCAAAAAAGAAACCATTACAAAAAATTTTCAGCTGGATCTCTTGGTGAAAGCCTAAGAAACGGAAGGAATTTTCTGGATAACACAGCCTGCTTCTGTTCTTAATTACTGTTCTGAAATTTCTGTTCTAGTTTCATGGGAAATTACAGAATAGCAATGTCTCAGCACTGCTAAAGGGCCTAGCATGACAACTTAAATCAGTCCTACCAGATTCTTTCCCAGTCTTTTTCAAACCTGTTCCCCAAAAGAAAACAGATAACAGGCAAGTTTGGGCTGTGGCTAGAAGTTTCAGGCAGAAAAGTGGGGAGACATCATAGCAAAGTTTCGCACAAAGGCAGGCAGTGTGGAACTGTGACTCCAGAGAACTTTTATTAGAAGAATTCTCAAAAGATTAATCTTCATTGTATGCTCTGGCAGACTTTTCAGCTCAGACAGGTGGCATTTTGTCCTACAGCAATTACAGAACATTTCTTCATGCAGTTTTCAGTTCTTGTTACCACTGTTGTATGTAGTCTATTGACTAGAAGAGAAAATATAGCCCATTAATCCAACACCGCAACCCATCCTACGCATAGCCATATGTTATAGTAAGAACAGTTTGGAAGAACAAATCTGAAGATGGAAAAGGTACATTAGTCAAAGGAACAGAAAGGTGATGGGCCATAGAATCACTAAAACCAAGCCACAGAGAATGCCAGAAACCTTATAGAAAAGGACATATAGGAGAGCAGTGTTTCACAACTAGTTTCTTTAATATCTTACCTAAAGTTTCAATTCAGAAAAATGCATTTTGAGTTTTACACCACCACTTAACTGGTGGAACAGTGAAAAATGTAGTAAAATGTAGTATTCCCTGCAGCCTTGAGTTTGGTCCTGACAGGGCTCAAACCTCCTATACTTCTGAGGTTGGTAAAATGAGGACCCAGATTGTTTGGGATAATATGTTGGCATTGCAAACTGCCCAGACAATGCTGTAAAGCACGGTGGAACGATATATAAGTCCGTACTATTGCTATTGCCATTTCTGTGGTCAAATGGACTTCGGCAACAACATACCTTTTGTTCCCATTACCTTGATTTCTCAAGGCTTCAAGGTGCATTTAAAACTTTCATAGCAGCCAGGGTTGTATGAAATGGGTCAGGAAAGTTGTGGGCACTACTCTAGCAAGAAAACTCTGAAAGCAGGTGGGCAACAGGGAAGTAGGCGTGTTCCCTTTATTTGGGAAGTAAAGGATCATAAAGAAAAAGAATGTTGGTCCTAACGTGTCTTTTCAGGGGAAGAGAGGAAGGGGTCACGTGTGGGTATTCTCAAAGCCTGATTGGTCCAAAGACTCAGAGAATAGCTCTTAAATGCTCCTTCCTTCTCCTTATTTCTCAGTTTCCTTGATGGTGAACACTGGACCTGAAACCTAATACAGAGAAATCCCACCCCCCTGGAACCTCCCTGTCCTATCCTTGGCCCTGCCTTACGCTAACTAGGGCAGGTCGTGACCCCTCCCTCTCTTCCCCTGAAAAGACACGTTCAGGTAAGACCAACGTTCTTTTTCCAGTGGAAGAGAGGGAGGGGTCACATGTGGGACCTACCCAAGATTAGTCCCAGGGAGGGAGAACTATGGCCCAAGGGGAATTTCAGCTGCCACCCTCTGCAGGACCCTACACCCAAAGGAAGCATCTGCTGAGGCGAATGCATCCAGTCGATAGTGCTGGATGAAGGGGGTCGGGGACGCCCAAGCAGCCACCTGATAAATGTCTTTGAATGGTGCCTTGGTGGCCCATGCCACCGTGGTCGCAGCATTTCTAGTGGAGTGGGCCATAATCCCAGCCGGGGCAGGCTGACCCACCACCTTGTAGGCCCCTACAATGGCCTGACGTAGCCATCGGCCAGTGGTGGCCGAGGATACCCTGGCTCCCAATGGCCCCAGCTGAAAGACAAAGAGGGCCCCGACCTGCGCACCCCCGCCGTCCACCTGAGATAGATACGCAAGGCGCGCCGGACATCCAAACGATGCCAAAGTTGCTCCCTATCGCTAGAAGGTGTCAGGCAAAAATTGGGCAGAATAATTTCCTGTACCCTGTGGAAGGGGGTGTTCACCTTTGGAAGAAAAGTGGGGTCAAGCTGAAGAACTACCCTATCCTGGTGAAATTGACAGAGGTCATCTTTGGATGATAGGGTGCCCAGTTCTAAGATACAATGGGCAGAAGTGACCGCCACCAGAAAGGCTACCTTAAGGGACAGGAATCTTAAATCTTAAAGGACTTAAACAGTCCTAATCGGTTCGAATGGGGGCCCCGTCAAAGCCCTGAGGACCAGGGGAAAATCCCACGTCGGGAATCTGTGGATAAGAGGGGGGGGCTGAGATTAGCTGCCTCCTTAAGGAAGTGTTTGATCAAAGGAACATGGGAAAAAGAGGAAGAACCCTCTCCCCCCAGGACGGAAGATAATGCCACTACCTGTTGACGCAGGGTGTTATGCGATAGGCCATTGTCCAGCCCTTTCTGTAAAAAGTCACTACCTTCCTGAGGGTTCCTGGGATAAGAGGAATGGGAGGGAAGGCATAGAGTAGGCCCGGAGGCATCTGCTTCTGAGGGCATCCGTGCCCTCTGCTGTTTGGCTCTGGAAATGGGAGAAGAATCGTGGCAGTTGAGAATTTGCCGGAGTGGCAAAGAGGTCCACAAATGGAGAGCTGAATCTCTGACACCTCCCGAAAGAGGTCTGGGTGGAGCTGCCACTCGCCATTGTCCAGAATCACCCAGCTTAGCCAGTTCACTTGATGGTTGTACTCGCCTCCAGCCAGAGAGCTCGAGAATGCGTCCCTCCCTGACAGTTTATGTGGGCCTTTGTGGCCACATTGTCTGTCAGGAGGAGCACGTGACGGCCCTTCACAAAGTCCTTGAAGTGTTGGAGGGCCAGTCATGCTGCCTTCAGCTCCAACCAATTTATGATGTGTTGGAGGTCTGAAGCAGTCCAACGGCCCTGTGTAAGTCTGAGGTCCAACAGGGCCCCCCCAACCGAACAGACTCGCATCTGTGGTCACAGTCACTCTGTCCGGTTCCCAAAATGAGCAGCCCCTTCATAGGGCTGGGGAGAGTCACCACTTTAGAGACGCTCGGGCTCCCACTAGGAGGCAGATGGTCTGGAGGGAGTTGCTCATCCTCCTTTTCTGAAAGGGGATGAGTGCCCACTGGAGGGGACGGAGATGGAGTCTGGCCCATGGGACTATCCCGATGCAAGAGACCATCTTGCCAAGTAACTGCGACAAGATCAGTATGGAAACTAACAGACTTTTGTGAACCGTTCTGGCAAGTTGGTGGAGGCTAGACTGATGGTCCGGGGACAGTTGGATGATCCCTGACACTGAATTTATGACCGTCCCTAAGTGAAGTGTGTGGATGGAGAAAGGTGACATTTGGGGAAGTTGACTGAGAACTCCAGGGACTGAAGGCGCTGAATGGTGAGCTGAAGGGACCACCGGAATGGACCTTAGGTGAGCCGCCAATGCCGCCAAGACCTTTGTGAATGTGCGAGGGGCCGATGCCAGGCCGAAGGGGAGGGCCCTGTATTGGTTGTGAAGGTTTCCATGCGAGAACCTCAGGTACCTGCGATGAGCTGGCAGAATAGGAATGTGGAGGTAGGCCGGGAATACTGACTGACTGACCTAAATGATTGGTACAGTTGCTGACGGTCTATGATAAGGGTGAGCCCGAGTCTCAGCCTTTTTGGAGTTAGATGGGAGAACCTTTTTCTTATCTTTATTCTCGACCAAGATGGAGTCGAGAGCCTCCCCAAAGAGCTTGGGACCGGTGAAGGGGGCAGCTGCCAGGTTCCATTTCACCTTGTTGTCTATCTGCCAGTTATGTAACCACAGCAAAAGATGGGATGTAACTGAAGTGGCCAAGGCGCTGGAGGCAAATTTGACCGCGTCCGGAGTCGCATCAGCAGAAAATTGGGAGGCACAATTATTTTAGTAATATCCTGATGGAGGTGCCCATCCTGGTATGTGATCCTGGAGCTGGCGCAGGTGCGGTTAAAATATGAGGCCGTGGCCACAGATTTTACAGCCCAGGCAGAAGCATTAAAATTCTAAAATCCTACGCAGAGTAAGTTCCGCCCGCTTGTCCTCTGGCTTCATCTTATCTGCAGCATCCCCAGAGACCACCGGAGATGAGGAGACTAAAGCTGCAATGGGTGTATCAATAAATGGCAATTAGAGGGCCTGAGCAAAGACCTCCTCTACATTGTAGAAGCATCAGTCATTGCTTCCCAGGTTAGAAAAGTTGGAAGGGCGAGCCCACTGCGTTTTTACCACTTCCATAAACAGAGGAGGAGCTAGAATTTCCTCCTTGTTCGTGGCTGTGTTAGAAAACATGGCCATATCTGGGTGTCTGGGTGGGGGAACCATAGGATCCCCAGTTCAAATCTTGGTGGTCTTCCTGGCGTTGTGTAAAAGGGTTTTGAACATCACTGGGGGGAAAAGACC